TGGTGGAGCTAGCGCGTCGCGGAAAAAACGAGCGTGTGCGCCGTTACGAGAAGCAGAGATTAATACCCGATTTTAAGGCCTTCTAGGTCAGGGGTCGACATACCGCCCGCGGGCCGGATCCGGCCAGGTGGGTGACGGTTGGATCCGGCCCGCGACCATCTGACGTCCGGCCCGCGGCTGGTATCAGTGACTTACATCGTGTTCCGGCCCGCGGTTCTTTCAGAAATCGACTCCGATATAAAAGTGACTGAAATGACCTTTGGCACAATACCTAGTTCTTCCTTCGCACACTTCATGAGTTTATAAACACCATTTGCGGGTGTTTTTGTCTAATTCTACTTAAAGACAAAACTTGCAACGGTAAGATTTGGTCAGCAGCTTTTGAGCGCAGCATCAACGACTGCTGGCTGCGTGCACTTGGCGGCTTCACGTGGTCTACTCGTTTAACCTTCCAGGCGGTGGGGGGGGGCATTTTTTGCCCCCCCCCTGTATCTCCGAAACTACTGGACGGATCCGGAAAATTTAAACGGCGTTCGATAGCCCTGTCAAATTTGTACAAGGAGGCTAAATTTCATTGACCTCGGGGTCACCGATGACGTCACAGGTCAGGTCAAAGATAACATGTTTCACCGTTCACGGGTCTTCTAGGGAAAGCGCTATAACACCGAGTAAAGCGCATTTTGTCGAAAATCAGCGATAGGGCGTCAGTTATCTAGTATGTACATATGTTGCTATTAGAGGTCACTGGTCATACCAGGTCAGGTCGCAGGTCAGGTCACCACGGGTCACCACATGAACCCAACCCGCAAATGGTGTTTATAAACTCATGAAGTGTGCGGAGGAAGAACTATTGTGCCAAAGCACATTTAAGTCACTTTTATATCGGAGTCGATTTCTGAAAGAACCGCGGGCCGGAACACGATGTAAGTCGCTGATACCAGCCGCGGGCCGGACGTCAGATGGTCGCGGGCCGGATCCAACCGTCACCCACCTGGCCGGATCCGGCCCGCGGGCCGTAAGCCGACCCCTGACCTAGAAGGCCTTAAAATCGGGTATTAACCCGCGCCCGCCTGGGGGTCTTGGATTTCCACGCCCTGCTGGGGGGGGGGGGGTGTTTGAACACCCCCCTTCTAACTCGACTCCTGGGCCACGTAGCGATACGCGGAAGGCGGCGTTCGAAAGAGCGTCAAAAATAATGAGGAAATCACTTCGGTCAATTTTTTGGTCAGGTCAAAGGTCAGGTCACCAGAGGTCATTGAAGGCAAAATTTCGCCAATTTCCAGGTCGAATGTCGACAATTTCCAAGAAGCCAACGCATAACTCGGGAACCAATAGAGCTACAGCGCCGCGGAAAAGCGCATTCGATAGCCCTATTAACGCCCTTTCTGAGTAATTTTCTCAGATTTGACCTAACGTCAACGGTTTTGCTTGCAGGGGGCAAAAACTGCAAATATAGCCGATTTTTTCGGAAAGTTTTTCTGCAATAACTTTTGACCCAAGCCTTGTACGAGCTTACTTTTACCGGCATCGTATTCCTCTCGTCAAGACGCATCGAATAAACTATAACTTGACCTTGAAAGGTCAACTTGAAAATTTGACCTCAGGTCAAGGTCATGACCTGACCGGAAAGGGTCATGTTGCATATCAGTCGATCCGTATCGTTGAGCTGAACACATCTAAGGCGTTTTCATCGCTCTAGCATGCCTCTATCAAAAGTTATTGGCGAAAAACTGTTAGATACCATTCGTGACCTAAGATGACCTCAGGGCATAAACAGGGGTCACGGACACCATTTTCATGTTCAGTGTGTCTAAACCACTTGTAATTCAGTGTTTGGGAGTGTTTATAATGTCTTTCGTCCAAAACAGGCGCATTTCAATTTTCTCCCATTGACTTATAAAATGGGGAGGTCGCAAAATTGACCTGACCTTAGGTCATCGATATCAAAATTCTGAGATATACATTTTGTACATGCTATTGCTCTTAGCAATCGCTGAAAGTTTCAAAGCGATCGGTCACTCGGTGTAGCTATGACAGACATTGAAACTTTTTATGAGGTGAGGTCACTTCAAGTGACCTGGTGACCTGACCTTGAATGACCTTGGTCTGAAATTTTCACAACATGTGTAGAATTGATGCATGATAAGGTGTAACAAAAACGGCGGCGCTCCGCGCCGCCGTTTTTGAGATATTCGCGAAAAGCCACAAGGGGGGGTGTTCAAACACCCCCCCCCCCCCAGCAGGGCGCGGGTTAATCTCTGCGTCTCGTAACGGCGCACACGCTCGTTTTTTCCGCGACGCGCTAGCTCCACCAGTGGCGAAACGGCGATGGGGGGGGGGTCGTACCCGCCCCCCTCGGCCGGCGTGTATGTAGAAAACAAATAGGTCCGGCGAGCAGTAGCGGCGGAACACTTTCAATTAGGGGGGGGGGGCACGGCACTGCCGACTTTTAGTCCCATTCTTTCCATGCAACGACCATAGGGCTACTGTTAAAGGGACCCTCCCACCTTAACATTAGTTTTGAGTTGAGATAGCCAAGTTTGCGGCCAGGCTCAGAAACCACCATTTATCCTGGTCGCAACCCCCGCAGCTTTATGGTGTTCAAGAAATTTCTTCCCTTTACTTGCAGGGTGGGACCAGCGTGGTCCCTATCTCTTAACCATTACGGGAATCTGATGACGTCATCAGGCTTTGGAACGTCCGTTAAATGTTTGACTAAAACGTTTTGTAGCACGCGGTGGTATATGCTGCTTTGCGCGCAACAAATGCCGCACTTTCAAATAAAGTCGTTAGGAACAGCGGAGATCCCAAAAAGTAAACAAAAGTAAAAGTCTAATATCTTGAAAACCGGTGAATATTTTTCGTTGAAATTTGGTAGATATTCGTTTTTGCTCTTTCTGAACCGAGCGACATCATTTTCATGCCAATTCATTAACTTTTTTGAAGGTGGGAGGGTCCCTTTAACCCGCGACCTGGTGGGGGGGGGGGCTATTTTTTGCCCCCCCTCCAGACTTTTCGATATATCTCCAGAACCGCTGCGCCGATCGTCACCAAACTTTCAGTACCCTCCCGGACATCAATTTTACACATTGTGACCAAACATTTTTCCAAAGGCTATGATAGGTTGGCCGGAAATGACGTCAGAGTGACGTCATGTTCTGCCGTTTTCGACCCAAAAAAGGGTTTCGCGGGAAGAGCTGTCAGGCCTATAGCTTTGCAAATACAGAAAAATGATAAAGACGTAAAAGCTGTAGAATCGACAGGGCTACAAAACAGCTATCTCGGATTTTTGAAATTTTTGGATTTTGACCCCCAAAAATCAAAAAATATTTTTTTTGGAAATAATAATCGAAAAATCCAAAAAGTTTTTTGAATTTCGCAAAAACCGGAATATATGTGATAGTCCTTACCGCCTTCCATCCACATACCAAATTTGAGATTGATACCTCTTTTTTTGGCGAAGTTATAGCGAAAAAACTGTTCAAAATTGATGACGTCAAATTTTCAAACTCAATTTTTAACAATTCTAGACCCCGTAGCGCAAAACAAAGACCACCATTAGACTCCCCGTGACGAGCTGCATCGAATCAATACCCATTTTTTGCAAAACTATCAACTTTAAAATTTGACCTTTTTTGGCCTGACCTTGACCTGACCTTGACCTGAACTTCACCAGAAAGTGAACAAAGCCGTACCTGATAGTCTTATAACCAACACCATTGAGTTGGAAATGAAAAATTGGCCATAAAACATGCATCACACAACCCTAGTAAAGTTGGGCTCATGTGACCTGACCTGTGACCCTTGGTGACCTGACCTGTGACCTGACCTGGTATTGTCAGTGACCTCTAATAGCAACACATCTACTAGGCAACTGACGCCCTATCGCTGATTCTCGACAAAATGCGTTTTCCTCGGTGTTATAGCGCATTCCCTAGAAGACCCGTGAACGGTGAAACATTTCATCTTTGACCTGACCTGTGACGTCATCGGTGACCCCGAGGTCAATGAAATTTGGTTTCCCACGACAAATTTGACAGGCCTTTCGAACGCCGTTTGAATTTTGTGGATCCGTCCAGTAGTTTCGGAGATATGAGGGGGGGCAAAAAATAGCCCCCCCCCCCCACCAGGTCGCGTTATAAACAGACCCCACCAGGGCGCGGGTTAAAAGGCCAAAATTAAAGAGGGGAACGGTGCCCCGGTGCCCTCCCCGTTCCGCCGCCTATGCCGGCGAGGGTAGGTACAAGAGATTATACCTATTGTCATTCATCGACCGCGAAAAAAAATGTCCGGACACAAATGATATGGAATGTTACAATTGTCGGATCCCAAATACAATAGCTTCACCTGACTGACCTCATCTACCTGACTTCAAAAGTTTCGATCATGCATTCCATGCATTAAATTCGTCATTCACTTGCAATGGTCTGATATTTCTTCATGGTTTTATTGAACCACATTTGTGGACGAATGTTTGCGGAGACGAAGATAGCGCAGACAAAGGTTTGCGGACGAAAATATGCGCAGACAAAGATTTGCGGACGAAGATTTGCGTGGACGAAGAAATGTGTGGACGAAAAATGCGGACGAAGATTTGCGGACGAAGATTTGCGGACGAAGATTTGCGGACGAAGATTTGCGGAGGAAGATTTGCGTGGACGAAGAAATGCGGACGAAGATTTGCGTAGACGAAGAAATGCGTGGACGAAAAAATGCGGACGAAGATTTGCGGACGAAGATTTGCGGGGACGAAGATTTGCGGACGAAGATATGCGCAGACGAAGATTTGCGTGGACGAAGAAATGTGGACGAAGATTTGCGTAGACGAAGAAATGCGTGGACGAAAAAATGCTTGACGAAGAAATGCGCCGACGAAGAAATGCGGAAACGAAGAAATGCGCTACGAATATTTGCGCTTACGAAGAAATGCGAGACGAAATAATGCGACACGAATAAATGCGCCGACGAAGATTTGCGGACGAAGAAATGCGGACGAAGAATTGCGCGACGAAGAAATGCCATACGAAGATTTGTCCTGGAATCGACTTAGAAAGGCTTCAATTGACGTGACCGAAGAGAGGCGAGAAGCCGAAGATAGACCGACTCCAAACGGTAATTCCATCGATGTAACACGTTTCCCGACATTTTTTTATGGCGAGCATAACTAAGAGTATAAAATAGTCTAACTTAACTCATAGCTGGATCTTGTATTGCCCATATGAGGTAATTTACCTGTATAAGTTTATGGGCATATCAATATAGGAAATTGACCTGCCCTTTGAGATAGGCATTATAAGATGATACATGCTGCTGAGAATGATTACATAAATTCAATGCATTTTTATAAGATTCATTGCAAGCATTTTAGCAGTGTTCTACTTTGTCTGGTACCAAAGATATTGCATGCAGATAAAGGTTATGATGGAAAAAGACAAATAGGATCTATTTTGACACCAGCAACCAGGAGGTATATGTAATAGAACACTAAGGCTACCTACTATTTATGAATTGTTACAAGTATTGATCATCCTACATGGTGTTACAGGTGCCCAGTGCAATCATGCTTCTGGTGCGGAGTTGTCAGGATGGAGTCTGAGGAATCAAGAAAGGCAGAGGACCTGCGTATGAAGGAACCAGCCCTGCGGATGAAGTTCTGAGGTGCATACAGAGGGATCCCACTGAAAGACCAGGTAGGAGTTGGTGAACAGCTTGTGCACTGCAGTATATCATCCAGAAGTAACTGATAGCCTTTCTTGCAAAATGTTTTTTTTAACTCATCACCACCTAAAGCTACTCATTATTGATATACCTTCATTTCATCAGGTAAATAATTGTTTACTATAAGTTTTGATTTACACTGAAGTGAACACTATTTTAGAATATTCCCTCTGCTTTTTTAGCAACAAAATACGGGCAAGTTTTTTGTTGTTTTTTAAAATAAATTTCACCTTCTAGAATATTTGTATAGGTAACTGCAATAAAAGTGCATTTCAAAATTGCAAATACTTTATGTAAAGTTCATGGGTCTTGATGATGTCACTGTATCCAGTTCATCATATCAGATTTCAACTGTGCTTAAACTGCAATGTTTTGCTAATTGCTTCAGTATATAATGTCCTTTTATCCATGCATGTTAAACATATGTATCTCATTATGACTTGCCATGATCTTTCCTTACTGTCTTATGCCATTTTTCATTTATTCACAGGTGCAATGCTGCATTGATAAGATCCAGATTCAAGAGCATGGATGCTACCAGATCCTGTGATTTGAAGTTACCAGTGTCACTGCTGCTACAAATGACATCAGCAACACTTCCTTTGGTGAAAGTTTAGAGGAGCAAACAGTTGGTGCTCTGTGTAGTCAGGCAGTGGAGTTTTGCCACAATCATGAAGGTGTCAATTTTTGCTCTGGCTTCTGGGACACCTTGGATCTACATTGCAACCTATGCTAGTGTTCAACATTTCGTGCCATAGTATCACTGATGCAAAGCGTGTTGCATCATACACAAATGAGAGCCAACAAATTGTCAGATATTTTCTAGTGATAGAGAACTGCATGCCTTAAGCAATTGTTGAAGGTGATAAGTGGTGAATGGTAGGGCTCAGCCACTCAGCTCCTTCCTTCAAAAGCTATCAATCAGCTCTAGAAGAGTAGTCATAGCAATGCTTCATATGTGAAGGCTACTTGCCTCAACAGAACATTGTGGATTTGTTAATTAAGTACCTCTTTATTACAAGTTTGTGCCCATTACAAGCCAAGCTTAGTTTACTTAGTTTGTTGCAAGTTTTCCAGGCAGCCTTCACACTTGTGTCGCTGAATATTTAACTTTAACTGATAGACCGACGAGATATTGTCCCTTTCGCATCAGATTGTAATCAGTCAGTCATGTTGGTAGAAGGTACAGTCTGTCTTAAAAGTATACCGCGCAAAGTGACGGTGGATCCATCAAGCCTGACCGAGGAAGGGCCTGCTATAATTTGAAAGTCACCGAACCAATTGACCTGGGGAACGGACGAGGATGTCATATAGAGCCACGCAGAAATCGCCGGTGATTCGTTGCCCATCATTACAGAATGAACGCATGCCGGATGAAGGGTTATGTCAATAGTCTGTACAAACTACAGGATGTGATTGACTTATCTGACAGTGACGAGCGCTAGAGGTCAACTTAAGACCGTAGGTATGCGTTCTTGTCATGGAATGTGTGCTGTAAATCGATTGTTTCATGCGTGTGAATATATGTCTGAATGTAATAAGGTTTTTAATTTCAACTGTGTAAGTTAAAATATGTGATAACATCGTATCTTTCGTACTCCGTAGCTTTTGGTGACCATTCGATCAGCTAGCTCCCTTTCCTTCCGCTCAATGACGATGTAGTAGTTTGCCTTTCACACGCGTCATTGTCTTCCTAATATCGAAATCAACTGTAGCTACTCATTTTAGCAAAATGATGAACCTGAAAAAGACATGAAACGCAGTTTCCGTTCGCGGCGCGTCGGCCGCCGTCGCCGCCCGCAGTGTTATCCCCGGCCTGGCCGGCGCCCGGCCGGCGCGTTGTGTCCAAAGCATACGGTGCTGCCACCTGGCGAGACTTTTTGGAACTCTTAGCGCGAACATCCCCATTATAGAGTTCAGTGATATAACAACATATTGATATTAGTGAATGTTTATTTTTGTTACTTTTCATAAACCCTCCAGTTTCCAGGGTCTGCATGCAAAAGTTCTGTTATTTTAGAGTCAAGCTATTGTACTTAGGGATTTATTTTGGCAATTTAGTCATGTGTTAGGTTATAAGGCTGCAGAAACTTTTAGTTGAGGTTGGTATCCACTATCCAGTTGCAGCTATAATTGTGTCATATTTTGTATCATTTTCTGAACATGTAAACACCTACCTTACCTTACCTTACCTTAGTTGGTCATCGGGTTATAAGGCCACTCGGCCTATGGGTCCCGCTCGTATCGAGTGAAAGGCATAATCGGAGAGGCTATGGTCGAATACCTATAACCTATGTGAAACGTACCTATGGCTACCTATATGAATTCAAATATTGTGATTGTAGAAAAGCAGTTACCCTCACATTGCAGCGGGGATTAGAACAATTAACCACACTTGTTATACTAAAAGCCTGTTTGCCATCAATTTTGGGAATTCAAATTGGGTAATGGTAAGGTAGACGTAGCACAAGCTGCCCTATGCACGAGAATGGGTTTTTCTAACCAAACCTTACCTAACCTGACCTACAACCTACAGCCTTAAACCTAAAATTTACAACCTACGACCTAGTCCTACGGTATGGCATATCACGACAGCTTGTGCTTCGTCTGCTACCATGACCCAACTTTGTTCCAATTCATACCAACTTGGGATGACAGTCACTGCAGATGTGTGCTGACCATGCAGGTCTTTGTTACAATTGCAATTCTATTGCGTTACAGGTTCGGAGAATGGGTTTTTCTAACCAAACCTTACCTAACCTGACCTACAACCTACAGCCTTAAACCTAAAATTTACAACCTACGACCTAGTCCTACGGTATGGCATATCACGACAGCTTGTGCTACGTCTGCTACCATGACCCAACTTTGTTCCAATTCATACCAACTTGGGATGACAGTCACTGCAGATGTGTGCTGACCATGCAGGTCTTTGTTACAATTGCAATTCTATTGCGTTACAGGTTCGGCGTTCTACAGCTGCGACCCGCCATGGCTGGGCCACCGCGGCGGCATCACCTTCAGGGTGGACCTGCGTCCTGCCCGTGGCCACCCGCCGGTCGGACCCGCCTGCAGTCCGCAGGGAAGCTGCCCTGCGAGCCATTGCAGAGCTCCCGCACCCGGACGTCACTATCTGGTCGGACGGCTCGGCTCGCGGCGGGACGGAACAGGGCGGCGCAGGCGCGCTGATCCAGTTCCACCACCTCAACAGAGAAGAGACCGTGCTCCAGGGGCGGTCTGCTCCAGCCTAAGAGCAGAACTGACCGCCATGCGCGAGGCGTTCGCGGCTGTGGCCGGCCTGGAGGACGGGGAGTTGGCATCGACCAAGTCGGTTCGGTCCGCCTCCTCACCGACTCTAGGTCTGGGCTCCAACTACTCGGCCGCGGCCCAGCTAACCAGACCATGGCCCTGGCCGCCGAGGTCTGGAGGCTGCTGAGCACCCTCGCCGAGAACGGCACCGAGACGGTGCTCCAGTGGGTGCCAGGCCATGCCGGGCTGGACGGCAACGAAACCGCCGACCGCCTGGCTGGCGAGGACACGGCGGGCGACCAAGACAGCGCACCGATCGACCTGTCGAGTGCGCGGGCCGCCGTCACGCGCCATGTCCGGGAGCTGTCGCGACAGAGGGCAACCGCTGCCCACCCGCACCCGGACCCCACGCCTGGCCACGACTCCCTGGCGCGCTGGGGGTCGGTCACGGTGACGCTGTCCCAGCTGAGGACCGGCACATCACCGCTGACCCGTGACACGCTCCACAAGATTGGCCTGGCAGCCGACGACGAATGCCCCGCGTGCGGGGAGCCCGACAGCGCGGCGCACCTACTGACCGATTGTCCGGCCTATGAGGCGGCCAGCCGCCGCCGCTGGGGTGTCGACCCTCGCCTGGTCGACGTCCTCGGCGGCCCGGCGACGAAGGTCGTCACCTTCATCGAGGATGTTGGGCGGACCGAGCTGCCGCTCGACCCGCCGCCCCCCTGAGCGGGTTGGCGGTGGGATGCAGAAGAAGAAGAAGAAGCAACTGCCAGCGCGCCACGGCGGCGAAGCCGAGTTCCGCCGCTGGACCGCCCGCGCAATGGCCAGCACAGACAAGAGACAACCGAATCACAACACCTACAATTACGTTATTGTTATGGTATTGTTACAATTAACCCTGCTCTTTCGAGCGTGGATGCACGCTGAAATTGTCGCATAATTCCATGCAGCTTCCACCCTTCTGCAATACAAAGCTTGAATACAAAGTAGTCTTGCAATAGGTTTAGAACTTATGTGCAGATTGTCGATGCTGGTTGACTTGATGATTGGAATTGTGTTTATCTGTTTCATCTGTTTTGACTTAAATATATGGCCATGGACTTTGGCCTACCTTGGGAAGTGTCTCTGATTTCAACAAAACATTTTTCATCAGGGTACGCTGCAGGGTACATAGTACATACGTAGTGAAATTTTTTAGCATGTATGGGTGCGCATGTGGAGATGTAGACTGCGAATGAGACGGACCACGACGGTTTTTGAACCAATTAAATCTGATTGACAACATAATGTAGGACTAAAACCTGACTGTCAGAAGAACATTCACAGAATATTCACTTCACCCGGTACAACGAAAAGGGAAAGTCAGGGAACAGAGGCAGGGTACATCTCGAAGATCAAATTGCAGGTGCCGATTGGTTATGGATCATCGCAGCTCGAGGTACTGCCTTGTGCTGCTTTATTGTTAACTGAAATTGTTTCCACCTTGTATTGAAAGAAGTCATTATGGAAGATTTTAAAAAGGTTCTTAAAAAATGTTAAATACTTTGAATTTATATTTTTGCAGAATTATACACCCGTATCATTCTTTACATGTCAATATTTGTATATCATTTAGCATATAAGAAAATAGTGGCCTCAAGTTTCTAGGAAATATCTGATTTTGCTCTCTGGGCCCTAAAAAGATCCCTAAAAAGTTAGGAGCCATCTTCATTATTTAATGCATAAAACCAAATAAATTATCACTGCTCAAAAGTGGAAGAAATGACAAATGAAAAAATGTTTTCTAACAGCGTTGCAATCCAGATTTTAAGATAGTGATGGGCGCACTAGAAAGCAAGTAAAAGGTATTGTAAATGTACTCCACAAGGTAAAAGTTAGGAACAAGAATATCCTTAAACTGTTTCAGAATTTGGTGACAAACATTTGTTATGTGTTTTAAATACCCGAACGAATCGATTCCAGAATCAGTCTAGATGATATTATATGGTTTTTGTATGGTGTTGGTGGTACTTGAATGACCAAAGTCAGTACATGTCCATCACCTTTCGATATTTCCGTGGTGCTCGCTCCCATTTCATAGCTGCTCACGGTGTTTTCTGCTGACGTCATATGGTGCTGCTCCACTAGCGCCACCATACGGCGTCAGCTGGCGAATTATCCAGTTAATACCAGAGCCCTCAGTTGGGCAAACTGCAGGGAGGTAATCTAAATATAGATTAATCAGAATTTAGATTATTCTATGCCCATATTTGGGCATTTGTGCAGCCCTCTGCAGAAACAGCCGTGTAGTGGCCAAGGAGTGGCAGAATCACACCACTCTTTCACAAAGCACAGTTAACATCTCATACTGCCTCTGAAGCACCAAAACAGCTCTGATAAAAATTTTGGGGTTCCTGAAATATGATGGGGAACATAATCTAAATTAAGATTAAAAATTCAGCCTCGACGGGGGCGTAATCTATATTCAGATTATGTTGTCAGCTGACTAATCTTTATTTAGATTACACAATCAGCTGACTAATCTCAAATTAGATTACATTCAGCTGGCCTAATCTAAATTAAGATTACAATATCCAGCATCCAAGAGGGTAGGCATAAAGGTTAAACCCTATCATTATAATCCGTCAGTATAAGGCGCTGGAACATCACATCCTGTGCAGGGAAATAGAGCCAGTCTAACGTAGAAAAGAAAAATACAGCACATTACCTGGCTTTCTGTAAGTATAGTTAAGCTATTTTAGAAAATAAAACAACAGAAATCAGCAATCAATATTTGTTTTTATTTAAGCTCAAAAGCCTATTTAAGGTATATAATGCCATGTGAATGTGGAATACCAACTTTGAACTTAATGTAGCCAGTGCCACCTGGCCTAACAATATCATCCCACGACTTTTCCTGAACACGTCCCGTAACTACGGAGGCTACTCAGTTTTGGTATCCCTTGGGACCTACGACCCTTTACAAATATAAAAAACTACCTAATTTGTTCGATTTCCCGCAATGATGTCATGTATTGCAGCCCTGTTGGGCTCTGACTGGGGTTCTGGGGCATGCAACTTTGAATAATTCATACTTCTGAGTTTCGGGTTAAAATACCCACATAGCATTAAAGGCATTGAAAATATAAGCCAAATCTGCACCCCAAACCACAAACACACAGACTGTCATTTCAAGGAAAAATATAAATAATCAAAATTCAGAATTATTCCTGGAAATATGACACCATAATACAATGTTTACATTTTCAGGGAAGTGTCCCAGCAGCTCATTTCTACTCTCTCAGGCAAAGGTTTATAATGAATTGGCACCAACGATTCAGGATTTGTTGATTGATGTCGTAGGTTGTCAAAAATAACGAAAACATGCCATGTCTGACAATTTTTTGTCAAAAAAACTAGGTTGAAATGACTGGGGGTGCAGCTGAGTCACCTTCATAACAAACACACTCACCGGTTATGTACGCCGATAACGCATTAACGTCACACTTCTACCACCCAAACTTAATTTTGCTGGTTAAATAAGATATTACCATTATTTTGGTACTACTTTGGCACCATTCCATCGAAAAATACTGGCGGGAAAAAACTATTACCGAGAGGATACACGGCGCCACGGACGATTCCAGGACAAATCTTCGTATGGCATTTCTTCGTCGCGCAATTCTTCGTCCGCATTTCTTCGTCCGCAAATCTTCGTCGGCGCATTTATTCGTGTCGCATTATTTCGTCTCGCATTTCTTCGTAAGCGCAAATATTCGTAGCGCATTTCTTCGTTTCCGCATTTCTTCGTCGGCGCATTTCTTCGTCAAGCATTTTTTCGTCCACGCATTTCTTCGTCTACGCAAATCTTCGTCCGCATTTCTTCGTCCACGCAAATCTTCGTCTGCGCATATCTTCGTCCGCAAATCTTCGTCCCCGCAAATCTTCGTCCGCAAATCTTCGTCCGCATTTTTTCGTCCACGCATTTCTTCGTCTACGCAAATCTTCGTCCGCATTTCTTCGTCCACGCAAATCTTCGTCCCGGCAAATCTTCGTCCGCAAATCTTCGTCCGCAAATCTTCGTCCGCATTTTTCGTCCACACATTTCTTCGTCCACGCAAATCTTCGTCCGCAAATCTTTGTCTGCGCATATTTTCGTCCGCAAACCTTTGTCTGCGCTATCTTCGTCTCCGCAAACATTCGTCCACAAATGTGGTTCAATAAAACCATGAAGAAATATCAGACCATTGCAAGTGAATGACGAATTTAATGCATGGAATGCATGATCGAAACTTTTGAAGTCAGGTAGATGAGGTCAGTCAGGTGTATTTGGGAGCCGACAATGGTAACATTCCATATCATTTGTGTCCCGCCGACATTCTTTTTTTCGCGGTCGATGAATGACAATATAATCTCTTGTACCCTCGCCGGCATAGGCGGCGGAACGGGGAGGGCACCGGGGCACCGTTCCCCTCTTTAATTTTGGCCTTTTAACAGTAGCCCTATGGTCGTTGCATGGAAAGAATGGGACTAAAAGTCGGCAGTGCCGTGCCCCCCCCCCCCCTAATTGAAAGTGTTCCGCCGCTACTGCTCGCCGGACCTATTTGTTTTCTACATACACGCCGGCCGAGGGGGGCGGATACGACCCCCCCCCCCCCCCATCGCCGTTTCGCCACTGGTGGAGCTAGCGCGTCGCGGAAAAAACGAGCGTGTGCTCCGTTACGAGACGCAGAGATTAATACCCGATTTTAAGGCCTTCTAGGTCAGGGGTCGGCTTACGGCCCGCGGGCCGGATCCGGCCAGGTGGGTGACGGTTGGATCCGGCCCGCGACCATCTGACGTCCGGCCCGCGGCTGGTATCAGCGACTTACATCGTGTTCCGGCCCGCGGTTCTTTCAGAAATCGACTCCGATATAAAAGTGACTTAAATGTGCTTTGGCACAATAGTTCTTCCTTCGCACACTTCATGAGTTTATAAACACCATTTGCGGGTTGGGTTCATGTGGTGACCCTTGGTGACCTGACCTGCGACCTAACCTGGTATGACCAGTGACCTCTAATAGCAACATATGTACTAGATAACTGACGCCCTATCGCTGATTTTCGACAAAATGCGCTTTACTCGGTGTTATAGCGCTTTCCCTAGAAGACCCGTGAACGGTGAAACATGTTATCTTTGACCTGACCTGTGACGTCATCGGCAGGGCTGCGGAGTCGGAGTCGGAGTCGGAGTCGGAGTCAGTCGGAGTCGACAGTTGTGACCGGAGTCGGAGTCGGAGTCGGAGTCGATTTTAGAAACCCGAGCAGGAGTCGGAGTCGGAGTCACCGAAAATCTGTCGACTCCGCACTGACTCCGGAGTCGCTAGGTCCGCAGCCCTGCTAGGTCTGCGGAGTCGGAGTCGGGAGTTGGAGTCGGTCGGAGTCGACAATGCTGCCCGGAGTCGGAGTCGGAGTCGGAGCTGGTTTTGAAAGCCGGAGTCGGAGTCGGAGTCGGAGTCGCCGAAAATCCATCGACTCCGCAGCCCTGGACTCATCGGTGACCCCGAGGTTAATGAAATTTAGCTTCCTTCCACAAATTTGACAGGGCTATCGAACGCCGTTTAAATTTTCCGGATCCGTCCAGTAGTTTCGGAGATACAGGGGGGGGGGGCATAAAAATGCCCCCCCCCCCCACCGCCTGGAAGGTTAAACGAGTAGACCACGTGAAGCCGCTAAGTGCACGCAGCCAGCAGTCGTTGATGCTGCGCGCCTAAGCTGCTGACCAAATCTTACCGTTGCAAGTTTTGTCTTTAAGTAGAATTAGACAAAAACACCCGCAAATGGTGTTTATAAACTCATGAAGTGTGCGAAGGAAGAACTAGGTATTGTGCCAAAGGTCATTTCAGTCACTTTTATATCGGAGTCGATTTCTGAAAGAACCGCGGGCCGGAACACGATGTAAGTCGCTGATACCAGCCGCGGGCCGGACGTCAGATGGTCGCGGGCCGGATCCAACCGTCACCCACCTGGCCGGATCCGGCCCGCGGGCGGTATGTCGACCCCTGACCTAGAAGGCCTTAAAATCGGGTATTAATCTCTGCTTCTCGTAACGGCGCACACGCTCGTTTTTTCCGCGACGCGCTAGCTCCACCAGTGGCGAAACGGCGATGGGAGGGGGGGGGGTCGTACCCTCCCCCTCGGCCGGCGTGTACCTATGTAGAAAACAAATAGGTCCGGCGAGCAGTAGCGGCGGAACACCTTCAATTAAGGGGGGGGGGGGCACGGCACTGCCGACTTTTGGTCCCATTCTTTCCATGCAACGCCCATAGAGCTACTGTTAAAAGGCCAAAATTAAAGAGGGGAACGGTGCCCCGGTGCCCTCCCCGTTCCGCCGCCTATGCCGGCGAGGGCACAAGAGATTATATTGTCATTCAACGACCGCGAAAAAAAAAGAATGTCCGGGACACAAATGATATGGAATGTTACAATTGTCGGCTCCCAAATACAATAGCTTCACCTGACTGAGTGATCTCATCTGCCATGACTTCAAAAGTTTCGATCATCCATTCCATGCATTAAATTCGTCATTCACTTAAGATGGTCTGATATTTCTTCATGGTTTTATTCAACCACATTTGTGGACGAATGTTTGCGGAGACGAAGATAGCGCAGACAAAGATTTGCGGACGAAGATTTGCATGGACGAAGAAATGCGTGGACGAGAAATGCGGACGAAGATTTGCGAACGAAGATTTGCGGACGAAGATTTGCCGGGACGAAGATTTGCGTGGACGAAGAAATGCGGACGAAGATTTGCGTAGACGAAGAAATGCGTGGACGAAAAAATGCGGACGAAGATTTGCGGACGAAGATTTGCGGGGACGAAGATTTGCGGACGAAGATATGCGCAGACGAAGATTTGCGTGGACGAAGAAATGCGGACGAAGATTTGCGTAGACGAATAAATGCGTGGACGAAAAATGCTTGACGAAGAAATGCGCGTACGAAGAAATGCGGATACGAAAAAATGCGCTACGAATATTTGCACTTACGAAGAAATGCGAGACGAAATTATGCGACACGAATAAATGCGCCGACGAAGATTTGCGGACGAAGAAATGCGGACGAGGAATTGCGCGACGAAGAATTGCCATACGAAGATTTGTCCGGTTACGCGCCACGGACATCGCTAGATCGCGGCCGTAAATCGCCGTAGCCGAAATGCGTTGTATTAGGTGCATTTTTCGTAGTGGGATTGAATAATTGAATATTTCTTATCTCAGAACTGCCGAAAAAAGGTTTCTTAACATTTAATGGGTACGATAAAAAGGAGTAAAAACAGATTAATGTATTTGCCCGTTCATCGGTGAACTTCACTAATCACGTCATAACTCCCAAAGTCCAATCTCAAATGAGCTGGCCAGTTCGCAATCTGTAGGATCGAGTTTTGTCTGTCACTCAACAAAAAAATATCGTGGTTATGAGCAGTTCTTCGATGGTTATGGGGGGTTTGAATGGGGACGTGTGGGAAATATAATCTAAATATTGATTATCGCTCCTTATATGGTCATCGCTCCGCCCATTTTGGTGACGTCATAATCTTAAATTAGATTAATCTTATTTTAGATTACCTCCCTGCAGTTTGCCCGACTGATCTGATCTAGACACAATTGCAACAGAGCCTAAAACACAAAAACTTGTCGCAGCAATGAGTGCTGATCATGTGAAAACTGAGAGTTCATTTCATGGTGTCATGATATGGACACCATATCATGACACCATGATAATGAATATGAATTTAATTATCGTGTATAATGGAATTTTCAAGATATTCCAGAGCCTTAAAAATACAATCTGAGCAGTTTGATGATACTAAAAAAAACCTTATTGAGGTGGTGTAAGTCTACACTTTAAATCAGTGTAAAAATACACTCCAATTTTGTGATAAACTATTTTGATTTCAGCTTGACTCAGAGAAGGCGATATATTCCTTCATCGCTTCAACTAACTACCCCACTCACAAAATCTTAATCCCTTATCCTGAAGAAGGCATACACAGTGGACGCAAAGCGATAAAAAATATTTAAGGCAAAATATTTCAATTCATCAGTCGAGCAAAAACAGATGTAGTCAATGGCGGAACGGTGAGGTAGGTACCGAAGAGGAAAATCAAAACAAACCAGTGAACGTACGCCGCAAAGCGCCATTTTCGCTTCATATTGATTGCTGCCATCACTGCCATCAAGGCCCTGCTGCCATATATGAAGGAAAACAAATTTTATTCCTTACTACATCCATTTATGATCATTATATCTTGTTTGCCGTTCGTGTGCCATCAATTGTGTTCGATTTTCATTTCTCCGGACATGTTTGGTGCTCCATGCTCAAGCTCTTTCAAGGCCAGACTCAAAGCTATATAAACCGCCAGACTGAACCGTGGACGCCCGCTGCACCAACCTTTCCACTTCTGTCACCAATGAGCTCAATGAGGGTCTTGCAGGCTTTACGGCCTTCAATCCCGACACCTGACACCATAAGGTAAGATAAGCTATGAAATGAGCATTAAATAAAGGATTGAATAAAATACTTTCTAACGAGGCGGGGCCAGTGCACGTTATCCAGCGATAATACATTGTGAACGATCGCGAAAACCGTTTGAAGGATGGCACCGACCTCCCTCGGCCGGATTTTTAGTCGTGATTTAGTCGTGCGGCGCTACCCAAGTGACGGACACCGTTACGACCATCTGGCTGTCCGTTTCCACGGCCTGAAATGCGTCCGAAAACTGCCAGAAGTTGACGGTCCTCAGCGTCGCCACCGGACCGACGAGTACCTACGCCAGTGCGGGACGGGTCGACGGTCGGCTGACGCCGCCCATCTGCTGCCCCATTCCGCCGTCCGTACAACCGTAGTCGGTCTAGTCTAGTCCGTCTGTCGGTCCGTCCGTACATTCACAGTCCGTATGTCTGTCAGTCCGTCCGTACACGGCCTGCCGGAGACTCGGTTGGCTCTTCTGTCCATCAGCAGGCCGAATAACTTTCCATGCGGTGCTGCAAGATCGCCCTGCAGTCTGCACGTCCGTCCATAATTCATAGATTTGATAGATTTGCTCAATGGTCGTCAGACTCATCACCTATATCGGTAGAGGTATACCATAACCGATAAACTCTTAGTCGCCTTCGATCGGAAATGGATTACTGTTTGTGCATACCTATTAGCCGTTTTCACGACGGCGATCTGGTACACATTTGGTGCACATCTGGTACGGATTAGGCGCAGATCTGGTCAAATCAGGTTCAGTGTGTCTTTTAGCAGCTATCAGCTAGGGTTGCACTAATTGCTTATATGCCTGCTGGCTGCTTTGTCATATTATCAGAGAGCATCATCGATTAAAACACTGAAATAAATTCATAAAATGAAGATATTTGCTGTAAAAGAAATTAGGTGCAGATTTGGTCAAATCAGGTGCATTCGCCGGATAGCCCGTCGTGAAAACGGCTAATACCTACCTATCTCCAGTGACTACCATTTGCACTTGTCACTGAAATGCTCACGTGACAGTCACTATGCACACGACATTATACCTAAATCAATAACGACCGTATATCTCAATCTCTGCAGTCTGCAGTGCATGCGTCCTATGAGACTCTACCACGATGTTTGGACTTTGGAGCTACTGCCATTTAATGGGTGTAGCAACGCTGTTACGTTACGTTGCATATGCATAATCACGCATTTATGCAGACGTGATTCGTGTCTAAATCGAGCCCATACAAGCTAATGAATTGTCTGGGAGGTGCAGTAAGCACTTCTTGGTCAGGCTCAGGGCGTTGCCGGGAATCGATAGACACGGGTTAAGAAGACATGCCGGACGGAGATTGACAGAGTTGTTGTCCTCGCAGTTCGCCATGTGGTCAGGGTTGTATACGACTCAATCAATAGCAATCAATTCAATCACGACAAATCTGGGAAACCAATCAAATCAATCAAGTCAGAGCAGTTTTCGGGAATTGATTCAATCGACTCAAACGCGACAATGAAAGGAATCAATCAACTCAATCAAACGACTCAAACCAAGACATACATTAGGTTTTTTTGCCCCACCAACTTGGAAAAGTGTCCATAGCAGTCTGGTGTACCTACCTACCTACCTACCTACAGAAGAAACATAAAAATATTGTCATTAAAATTATAAATTGCCGTGCCCTTCGTTTCTATGTAATAAGGAAGGATACCTAGTGATGGACAGGTGGATCATGATATTGAGGTTCAATGGGTAGAATTGGAGCAGAAGTTTCATTTAATGGGTGCAAAATAACCCAGTAGTTGACTCGCCCCTTAACCCAAATCACCACCTTTCACCTAAAAGTTGTCAATTTAATTTTGGCCATATTCCAACTCCATTTACACTAAATATCAGATATTGCATGGTTGAAAGTTGGCTGTTCGGATTTTGGCAGTGTTCGTGATTTGGCCACTACACCATGTCTATTTTAATGGATAATATGCATCAATAACATATTAACCATAGGGAAATAAAATTAAATATCTTACCTGCATGTGACGGTTTCGGTTAGACAGAGACTGACGGGCAGCCTGAAAAATCTTTCCACACAATGTGCATTTGAGACGTGGGATGTTGTCAGATTGGGAAGGAAGAGATTTGAAGTATTTAGCGGTCCACGACTCTGGACGTGGCATGTCAATGTTAGCTACCTATGTGAAGAATTCAAAACATTTTATTGCAATACAATTTGAAACTGTTAGGACTTACTGGGGGATAGGGATGAGGATTAAAAATATATTTAAAAGGAAATGGAGAGGACAGGGACTCTGGAACCACAGGATAAGTTAAGGACAAAGGAAGTAGGAACACAAGGAAAATTAAAACGCGAAAACGGCACGGTGCGACTCTGCGAAACAAAGAAAACGTTTTGCCATTAAGTATGCTAAGCTTTTATAAATCTTTATTCTACGTCTTTTGATTTTTTGGTAAGATGACGTCATTGATTATCATGTAGTATGGTAGATCATCATAAAATAAATGGGACTGGGTTGTACAACGCCAATTTCGTTTTAATTATTATTTTCTTTGAAATAAAACCACTTAATAATATTCGGTAAAATATTGTAAGGGAAATGAAATATATTAAATATGTTATGCTTAGGCTCTCAGGGGAAAAGGATCAACAAACGTTCTGCTGCAAATTAAACAATGCAGCAAATTAGGTAAGTAAACGTAATTAGCGAGACGAAAACGGCGCTTTTGTTTCAGTTATTTTTGTAGGGGTTTCAGTTCAGATATTTATAGAGTTCAGTGGGTTGTTTCTGAGGAGATGTGGAGGTGTGAATTATTAATTAATCACACTTTATTAGTATATAGGGTCTTGCACTTTATCATCTGGATTAAAAAAAGTTTCCTGCTGAGTGCAGAAAGGTAGGTAGGTGCATCGCCAGGTTCTATCACCAGGATTGGAGCAGTTATGAGTTATTGCAGTTGAAAGTCAAAGTAGGCTGTTCATGTTTAGGCCCTGTTCTTTATTTAGCCATCTACCCCATATGTATTGCAGTTGTGATGACAAACAGTTTTCAGTGTAGTTTTGTGATCTTTGATGTCATCAATTGGTGTCATTATTTTTCGTCAACTAAAACTTATTTGAACTTTCCATTCAATCGACTCAATCATACGAGTCACTCTAATTTTCGGGAATCAAATCAGTCAACCAGTCGCTTAAGTCAAACGAGTCAGTCAACCAGTCATCTCGAAAGTCAATCGACTCAATCCAATCAACTCAAAATACGCGTTGAAACAAATCAATCAATTCAATCGACTTGATTGGTATACAACCCTGCATGTGGTGCGCGGTAAGGAATTCGGCGAGAGACATTCCAGAACGTGAGCTGTTATTCGTCCGCATTCTGGTCAGAGATTTCCATACAAATAAAGTAGCACGGATGTCATTCAGGGCAAGACAGAAGGAAACAAAGCGTGTTTCCGCCGAGAGTCATCCCAAAAGAGACAGAGAGATTAAAGGGACCCTCCCACCTTAACATTAGATTTGAGTTGAGATAGCCAAAATGGGGTCCCTGGCTCACAATTACCGGTTTCAGCACTCACAACATCGAGAAATGCCTTAAATCGGAAATATTGAATTTCAAAATTGCAGCATTTTGATTCAGAGGGGCTAATGCATATGAATACCCCTCTGAATGTGTGACGTCAGCGCAGATATCT